ATCTGGTGAGCATTTCTAATCTCCAGAAAGCATGTACGGAAAAATGTTTTCCCACATTTTGCAGCAAGCTTTGATACCCTGGGCCTGCAATGGAACAAAACCCAAAGAGGCTTTTTTTTTGTTTATTTTACCCTTTCAGCAGTTAATGAATCTAAATTAATGTCACAGATCCAAGACTGAATAAAACTGCTGAAGGCATTACCAGACACAGCACTCGGGATGGAGGCTTGGCAAGCTTTTCCAACCCTTGCTGCAACGCTGAACGTACTTTCTTTACACCTCTCACAGTTGTATCACACAACAGGCTCGAGAGGTGTGGAAAACCACTGAAAACAGAAAGGATTTGCAATTGCTTGACTACAAGTTAGGAACCTGTTACTTTAGCACTATTTACACCACCATCGGCTAGTTTTTGTAAATCAAAGACTCAAAAATCAGCTATCAAGTATAGTCTGAAGAGGAGGAGGAGGAGGTAGAGTTGTTTCCCACTTCCACTCTGTAATCCTCAGGAGACATTAAAAGGTATTTGTTCAAAGACATTACTTTTGGGGCATTTAAGCAACCTTTAGGAAACCAGTTTGTCATTTCAAACAAGTCTTTGCTATTTGGTTACTACTCAGGACTGGTTTTGACCTTTAAAAACTGATTTGCAAAAACCTTACTCCCTTCAGATGATTCAATACAGCGATCCATTTGTGCTGCAAACAGAGGAATGCCACTGCATGCCAAGCTAAGACTGAAAATCCTCTAGTGCCACGTGGATTGCTGTACATCAGCCGGATCACCCGGAATTGTTGTTCTCCCAGTAGAGCTGCAAAGGACTGAGCATGTTTCAAGGCCATTACTCTAACATCACCCTGCTTTGCTGAACAACAAGACACAGTTACTGTGTTTCAGTTTGAAAGTGATTTACCAGTCTAACAGAATCAAGAAATAAATACTTGTGCTGGGCTTTGAGACTTGCTTTTTTTTTCAAGGGAAAAAGATGACCCTGTTCTCCATTACAAAAAGACAAAAATTAAGTCCAGGAAGACAAATCCCCTGTGAGAACTGAAGGCCAGGAACTTACATAGAATTTCAATGAGACATAAACCATCAAATAGACCCTATGAATTCAAGTAAAACCTCCCAGACCTTCTAAGAACTCAAACTCTAGAGCTTTTTATGGCATAGAAGAAGATGGGGGCTGACTGCCACAAGGAAAGCTGCGTTTTTCCTCAGTCCAGCCTAGAAGTTCATTACCCAAACCTGCGTAAGGACTCTCAGGCTCTGCTTGCTGCAAGGGGAACTGCACAGCTTAAGGGCTTGTCTGAAGCGGAAAGGCCTGAACAAGCATTCGTTACAGGGAACCACTGCCCCAGGTAACCTGGTGCAGCTAAGAGAAAGCTTGGTCTGGGCAAAACAGACCCAACAGCTGCTCCTCTCTAAGTTCCCAGCCTATCATCACAGCTGGTTTTACTCCATCCATGAACACAGCTACCCCACATGCTCCTTAACTCATTAAAGGAATTAGTACTAAGTAATCTGCAGAGAAACATCTTAGTGCCTTAGCAATGACCTAGGTAAAATCTTCCTTTCTTTGTTTTAGTATCTAACAGAATCTGATTTTGTGCTTTACCATAAGAACAGTAAACACTGCTTGAAGTTGAATGTTTTTGTGCTTTTTCTTTTTTCCTTAGTGTACATTTAACCCACTCATCATCTATACACAGAAAGAAAAACTGTTGAAAAAAACTCTTTGGAAAAAATTTTTACAATAGCCTTTTAAATTATTTTTCCATATTTAAATGAGAGTTTAAAAAAAAGAAAGAAAACCCAAGCTTGTTCTCTATAACCCAAACAACAACTACACTCATGTTTACAAGCTTTGTATAAAATATTTCTTAAAAAATAGTTTTTCACCTCATATTAAACATAAAACACAGAAAACTTCAGCTGATAACCTTCAAAAAGAAAAGCTAAAAGTAAACACATATACAGTTCAAAATAATCCAAAACAAAGAAAACAATTGAATTTCTTACCCTCTAGTACTATTAAGTGTTGCTTTCAGAAGAATTACTGTTGCTTTTCAGAAGAATTAATTCGGCAATCTTACTCACAAGAAATATATACTTTATTCTATAGCTTCCACTACAAAAAAAAAAACCTATAAACAAAAAACCCAAAAAACCAACCTTCTACTTTTTCCCTTACAAAACCACCTCATATCACTGACAATCCCCCCAGCACCCCCAAACAAGCAGCAGTAAGGCTTTACCCCCGAATTTAAGCATTCCTGGCTTGATTGGCTCGTGGAAATCAGCCCAATGAGTGTGCGGGAGGGAAAGGGCTTGGGTTATAAATGCTCACACGGGGGAGATTGCAGGATAATTGCTTGCTTTTTTTTTTTTTTTTAAGCAATTAAGAAAAGAGTAGAAAAGTTTATGTCTTTGTTTCAGTATAAACAAGCTTTTTAAGTTTATGCTTTATTTTGCTTATCTAAGAGTCAAGATAAGTATATATAATGCAGTTTAAATGCTTTTTTCTATAGTGGAACAGCTAATAAACAATGCAATAACAATTCTTACAGCAATATAAGTTTTCTTTTTAGATAAGTACTGGAAGACTTTATAAAAACATATCCAGTTATTTTTAATCAAAGACATGATAAAATGTTTTTTCGTATGTGTTTCTTAATATGCAAAGCAGTTGAAGTGCAAATAATAACTTTTAAAGCAAGCTGTTTTATAACTATGGGAGATCTGTATATTAGCTTTCATGTAAAAAATCACAGGTTTCTTTAGCCCTATCCAGGAGTTATTGTTTTTGTAGAAACAAAAGCTATAATGCTGTTTCTATGTGGATATTTGGGGAAAAAAAAGCTTATTTTGTGAATGTTTCAGAAGTATGTGAGCAAAGACTGTTGATTACATGGTTGCTTCTCAGCTTTACTGAGAATGTTATATTCTAATAAGTCAGATAATTACTTTTGTGTTTAAGCAGGTTGGTATTAAGTTTAACTGTTTTTCTGATTAGTAGTTTAAATAAAAGCTGTGTAATTCTACTTTGTGTTAACAAAGATGTGATCCATGATGAGATGTGAGTTAAGGATGCTGAGATAAGGATTTACCTGTGAAAGTGGAGGCTCCATTGAATTATTAGGTCTGTTGAAGTCAATGCTATGCTGAAGTCTTTAATGGAACTAAGATGCCTGAAAGGGGAAGCTGAGCATGTCAAGATGCTAATTAAGAAGCTAATTCACTGTAGATGATGAATTGGTGAGTAAGGTAAGCATATAAACTATTGAAGTGCTTCTTCGGATAGTAGAAAGCTTGCTTTTCTCCTAGTGAGTTGCTAATGGCCCACATACGAGTTCTGCTCTTTTCTTTGCAGTCATTTTAGATTCAAAGTGAGGCAAAAAATGATTTCTTGGGAGCTGTACAAGCATGTAAGGGATGATGTACTCTATGCTCTAACTGGAGTAATTAAGGTGTAGCATAACCCGTTGTCCTGGCTTAGACTGTCCCTTTTGAACTCAACTCTCAAAGTGTTTGGGAAGAAGAGCAGGTGACAAAACAGATTATTTTCCCTTATTCTCTAGAGGATTAAACTCTTGAATTCCCAGGTTCTGGATGTTGCCAGTGAGGGACCACAGCAGTAGGCAGTCATGAGAAGGAAGGTACTCATGGAGGGCTGGTTGGCAACTTGATATTGAAGCTCCCACTGACTGTTACCTGTGGCAGCATCCAGCCCTTCAGGCTTCAGCTATCCTCTAGCAAGTGTCTGTGCTAGATGTAAGTGAAAATGTGTGAGTTCTCCTGTAAATAGACATGGAAAAGATTAAATTTTTGTTATGTGGTTTTTTGCACTAGGACTTTGAGAGTGAGTGACCAGAAGAGGTGTTAGACTACTACCATTACATGACTCCAGGGTCCCTGCCAGCAGCAAGCAAGCACACCTTTCCCCATCAGCTCTGCAAGGCTCTCTGACCAAATGCTGAGGCTGTACTTGATTTTCAGTGTTCAGGCTGTCCTGTTACCTGCAACATCAGTGGTGCCCAACAGCTGGAGTGTGTCTTGGCAGGCGCTGTGCATGGATGTGCTTCCTACACAGAAACCCAACTGTTTGAAGGGTTTCAGGAAAGGCAGAGCTAACCTGAACCAGTAGCCTCAGGTTGCCACTGGGAACCTGTTAGCAATTATGTGCTTAGGTGGTTACAGCTGGCTGTGATATTCTTAGTATCATAATGAAAAGCCTTGTAGTGAGGGAAGTCTTGGCTCACTTGAAATGAGAAGTAATAGTAATCGTTTTGGGGCCCTAACAATGCTGTATTTAAACCTTAATTTTACTTTGATACTCAATATCTGGCTGTATATAAGATTAATTACTGAAGTTATTAAGTAATAATTTATAAGGATATTATATGAAATAATAATGTAAGTCTTTGTTCTACAGTGTAAATAAGCATTTACCTAAAGGAATTATAATAAAATACAAAATTTACAAGCTAAGCTTTCTATGGCCTTTTTTTAAAGGTGAACTAATAAAAGGCACCGAAGCCAAAAATTTTTTTGTCCTAGTTGAAGCTTCACATTTAATGCTGACTGTTCCTAGACACTCATCGTTTGAGATGTATTGTGAAGTCATTGCTGGAAAAGAGGAGAGGGAGGGAGTATCACTTCTGAGGAGCCTTGGACACTGTCCTCCTGCACTGCTCAAGCCAGAATCTGTCCCCCTTCCCCTGCCACAGAAGGGCCTGAGGAAAGGAACCTGCAGCTGCCCCTCAGATGCTGAACAGCTGGGGAGGGAGGGAGGGTGAGAGCAAGTGTGAGCTATTGGTGTTCAACTGCTCTCTTGGTTAGAGCAAGGGTGGCCCATGGGTCATGGGTCAGGCAGATACAGAGGCAAAGGCAAGGTCTGGGGGGGGTAAGCAGCACTTGGTAACACAAGTTATTTTAGCTTTGTTGCAAATTTAATCAGGTTTTCCTGGTGAGAAGGCAGGGTACTTGCTTCATCAGTCATGGATACAGAGGAAGGTATGCTTTTGAATTACCTATATTCTCTGGAAGAAGATACCGTCTCTGGGGTTTCTTTTTCCTAGGGACTTGTACTGCCAGGGAAGACAGTGCCTCTGCAGCCAGAAAGGTTCCAACTTCCTCCAACTAAAGTTTTTATAAGGAATTGTCCTGTTTCTCAGCAGTGCTACCTGTGAACATATTGAGATAATGTGAGCATGGACATTACCCCTTCAGCTGCATCAATTGCACGAGGAGTGTTGAACATGCTATTTGGTTTAGAAAAAAAAGACACCCCCAAAGGCTGGGCTTTGAAAGCTACTGGGATTGAGCTGTGTTAGAACAGATAAGACATTAACAGGACTTCATGTTTTGTAATTAAGTAGTTACTCTTTAGTCAAGGAACTTGTTACAGAATTGGAGCCCTGAGGCTCCATATCAAATCGTTGATACAGCGAATACGACCTGCCAATACCTAGCACAGGAGTTAATTTCTTTGGTTTGATCACCTTAGTGCAACAATGAAGTGAACAAGACAGATAAGGTACTTTTGAATGCAAACTCTAGGCAGGTAAAAGTCCTACTAAAGGCTTTGTTCATGAAGAGGTAAGGCTTTTTTAAGTTCTCTTATTAGTCTTGGGCTCACTTGAAGAGTTTGCTTTGTCTTAACGTCCTGAAGATCTACTCTGGGCTGCAAGAGCCTGGGTGCTCCAGGTAGAGCTCATGGTATGAGCACAAACCTACCCAGGCTGTGGCCATACCCGTTGCCCTGGGTTTAGCACTGGGTGTGGTGGATAGACTGTGCTTCAAGGTCCTCAGGCATGCTGCTCAGGGCTGTGTGAGTCAAAACACTGCACTCTTCTCAAGTGCTGGAGTGGGGAATCGGTGCTGGTGGTGGCTTTTTACCTTGCATGCTTAGGTCTTGGTAGCTTGTCAGTCGTGTGTGTTTGTGGCACCTGTCGTGAGCAATGAAACTGGTAAGGGTTAGATGCAGTTGCTCAGCAGTCTTGCTGCACTGCTGGCAACACTCCGTGGGAAAAAGTCACCTTTTAAACGCTAAATTAGGATATGTGATCCAGCCAGGGCGAGAGCTGGGTCACTGAGCTGCAGTGTTACAGTGCTAGGGAGGGGAGAGATCAATCAGAAAACTGCAGGGGAGGAAGGTGTGTTCACTCAATTTGACTCGTATTGTGTTAACTTTGAAAACAAAGTTTGTTTGTGTGTTTTTTTTAAAAGGCAAGCAGCTGCTGGTGTGGCTCCCCGCCCCCGCTGAGGGCAGCAGGAACGCTGCGGGGAGGCCGCGCCTCCCGCCCAAGTTTGTCCCTCGGCGGCGCCGGTGGGGAGGGGGCGGGCCAAGATGGCGGCGCCCAGCTGGCGGCTCACGTGTCCCGCGGCGGCGCCGGGGCCGGGTTCGCCATGTCGGGCCGCCAGGGAAACAAGCTGCCCAGGGCGGCCGCGGAAGCGGCGCCGGGCCGTGGGCCCGGTTGTCCCGCTCAGCCGCCGCCCCTGTGTGTGCTCAGTTCCTCCAGCAGTACCACCACTACCAGTCCCATGTGGAGATCTTCACCTTCCAGCCGGACAAGCCCAGTAAGGAGCTGGCGGAGCTGGTGATGTTCCTGGCGCAGGTAAGCCGCCCCCCGAGCGCTCCGGCCCTGGCTCTCAGCCCTTCGGCCCTGGCCCTCAGCCCTCCGCCGGCCGAGGGTGGAGGCAGGCCCTGCTTCCTCTCCGTTTGCTGCCGTAGCCCTGACGGAGTTGCCACAAAACTGCGCGTTGAGCGAGATTTCGGCAGCGGCGTTGCCCGTTTCCAGAACGCAAGTTGTTCTCTTGAGCGCTCGGTACAAGTTTTCCAAAGGGCTTTTTAATTGCCCCATAGCTCTCGCACCTCGGCGTTGGCGATAACTTTTCATTGCGTATATTAAATTATCCTACGAACGATTCGCCTTCCCGGGGCGCAGGACTCTGGGTTTTCACGAGAGCTGTCCTTGGGGTCTGTCTCCTCGCAGGTTGCCCACTGCTACCCCGAGCACATGGCCAGCTTCCCCCAGCAGCTGAAGGACCTGCTCTCCTACCACCACACGGTCCTGGATGCCGACCTGCGCATGGTAAGACCCGCTCCGAAAGGCCTTTTGGGCAGGCCTGTGGTTAAAATACACCCTTTAGCTGTGAGGTTAGAGCTTACGGTTTGCTTTTTGATTTCTTTAATAAACATAGAAAGTGGGGCTACTATGATATTTTGGTTCTGATTCCCTGTTTCTCTTACAGACGTTCTGTAAGGCTTTGATCTTGTTAAGAAACAAGAATCTAATAAACCCAACGAGTTTGCTGGAGCTCTTCTTTCAGCTGCTGCGGTGTCACGATAAGCTTCTGCGCAAAGTAAGCCATGCTGACAAAAACCGGTCTCGGTTTCCAGTGGGTTTTGAGCAACTTGGCCAGAAGTAAGGCAGCGCTGGCAGGCAGCTCTGTTCCCTTCCTTGGTAACAAAGGACGAAGGTTGGAAATAGCTCTGCTTTTTCAGCAGTCGGTAGTGCCAGAGGCAAGGCTGGATCTCTAGGTTTGATGAGTAACGAAGCACGCTGCCGTAACGCCTTTACCACGCTATGGCGTGTCCTGCCTTTGGAACTGAGCAGCTCGGACGTGTCTGTGGATGAAAACCACGAACACGTTGCTGTCAGAGCAGGCCGTAACGAATTCTTTCTGAGAACTGGAGTAAAGCAAGTAAACCCAAACCAGCTGCTCGTTAAAGCTGTATTTCAGGTTTTCTGCTATAAAAGTGAAAATACTTGCTTTCTGCCACCAGAGTCACTGACCTGCCCATCAGAACGTGCCTGAATGAAGCAGGGGTGGGGTTTTTCTAAGCAATGCTTCGTGCTGTTCATTTTCCTGCCTTGCTGTAAATTAAGTATGCTTTTCAAAAACATAAAAATAAAGCATACGTGAGACTTGACGGTATAACTTCTTGTTGTTTTTCCAACTGTAGCTTAAAAGAGAAAATAATATTCTCGGCGACGATCGGTTTGGTCTCTCGTTTTAGTTCTTGGAGGCTTTGGGGGAATAGTAATGTCTCTGCGTTGTTCTCTGCGCGGCTCGCGTAGGTTACTCCCTACGATCTCTCCATTTACAGACTTTGTATACTCACATCGTGTCGGACATCAAGAATGTCAACGCTAAACACAAAAACAATAAAGTAAACACAGTAAGTACTTAGCTTTTAGTTATACTTCCATTGAACCTCTTCGTGTTGTGAAAAACTTCTAATAATAAATGTTTCCCAACTGTTTTCTTAGACGCTGCAGAACTTCATGTACACTATGTTGAGAGACAGCAATCCCACTGCTGCCAAGATATCTCTGGACGTGATGATTGAGCTTTACAGAAGGAATATTTGGTAGGTCTGGCAGGCTCGTACCGATTCCCCGTTCATCGTGCGGCAGCCATGCTGACATCACTCGTGGCAGGTCGTGCAAAATGCAAGGCGGGGGGCAGTGGCTCAAATATATTTATCTGAATTGTGTTCCAGTGGGGCTGTACTTGGTGGAATGGAATTGAGCTGGGAAGAAATACTGTCTTGTGCGAAGTCTGAGTTACTTAGGTCGAATATTTGATGTTTTAGTTGAAAATGTTATGTAAATTGTGTGTATCGCATTCAAAACCCAAGCTGTGTGCAGATGGTTTTTTTAGCTCTTGCACATAAAAGCTGCTAATATTAGCATACAGCTTCTGAGGTACAGTGGAAAGAGGAATTTTGTTTTCTTTCTTGTTTTCTTAAGTTTGTAAGTTCATTCTAAAGGCTAGTGGGTGCTTTGAGTTTTGGAGCTTTTTTATGAAGCTATAATATAGCTCCTATTTTTAGCAGATAGCAGCTTGAAAAATTGTTGCCGAGGTAAGTATTGAAAGGGGTAGAAGCACAGAGAGTAGTGGCAGTTGTTGCCTTGTACCTAATATGTTGCTGAATCTTTATGTGGTGTTCCCAAATGCCAGAGCAGATGTTACCCGATAGTAAGTTGCGTGAGAAGATGGTAGTCTCTTTGCTACCTCTTGATTTTTGACTGTAAAAACATGTGAAAGACTTGTAATCCCTTCAGTTTGTAACTGCTGGGGAGCAGTGTGCCTGCTGCCGCGTATGTATCTGCAAAATAGGTTAGTGGCAGAGCGCTACCGGTGTGGTTCTGGCATTTCTTACCCGGGAGAAGGTCTCAGCAATATCTGAATCAGTTAAGCTGGGGTGTGAATGGCAATGTTGCTTTTTCAATGTATTGCAGAGAAACCGCAGCTGGCAGAGAGGACGTGGTGCTGGGGCGTGTTTGGGCGTAAGAGTTCCCATGTGTAGCATTCAAGGAAATGTTGTCTGTTCCATGGCACGAATAAAAAAAATGCACAGCAGCTTTAAGATTTTTTTTTTGTGTGTAGTAGTGGGTTGAGAACTATTTTCCCTAAAAAACAGGGACTGCTGAAAAAAATGTTACCGAAAGGAAAAGACTTCTGCGGTTTTAAAAAGTAGGTTTGTAATGACATAAGACTTGACATAAAATGAAATTAATTTCTGCAGCCTTACTTCTTTTAAACCCTTATTTTTGGAATGTACTTGATCTCAAAACTATGCAGCTGCTTTTCAAATACTAGTTAGAATTCTGCATGGATTTTTTTTTTTACCAAGCAGGGGGTTTATTTTTTTACCAATGCAAAAAAAGGGTAATCTGTCTGCCATTACTGGAGCTTATTCTTTCTATCCCTTCAGTCACAGTGTGAGCTAGATGGAGTGCAAGTGGGTCTGTTGAGTTAGATGAAGCTACTGCTATGTTAGAAGAACAAAAGAAAATGACAGAAGCTGAACTTCTTTGCAAATCTACTTGGAGCATCGACAGACTTGACCCTAATGAAGCTTCCTGCTTGTTAGGAGTCAGATTTCATGAGACTGCTTAATTTTCTGAGAATAACTTGAAAGTGCCAAACTTAAAGGTAATGTGTTCTTTTATTCCAGGAACGATGCCAAAACAGTAAATGTCATCACAACTGCCTGCTTTTCCAAAGTGACAAAGGTGAGAACAGAAATCGGTTGATGAAACCGCACGTTACCTAAGCTACCTTTTCCCTGTGGATGCAACTTTTTATGTTGTAATTGCTAACAAGCTTCATGGATGATTTGTCTTCTGCTTGTTTTATTTTCAAAATACCACTCGTGTTGTGGGAGGAGGCAGCGTTTGGTTCTTACGGAGCAGCAGAATTGGAAGCTTATCTTCTTATAAGCGCAGGCTGGCGTGGGGAGGGTGTGTGTACTTTCCGCTGCCACTCAGGAGAGACTGTTGGAATATCACCTCCTTATAATCGGCGCCGTAAGGCTTTAATGTGTTAAATGTGAAGAGAGCTGCTATCCTGCCTGGGGCTCGAGTGAATCTTAGACCTGCTGTCATCTGTGTCACTTCTGCAGCGCTGGAGGTTCTAAAAACTTGTATTATGGTTTGAGATAAGTTCTTACATTATGAAGGTCCAAGAGCTGTTCCATTCAATGAAAACCAAAACTAACAAACCCATATAAACTAACAGAAGTTTGGACTTCTGAGCAGTGTCTCGGGTATCAGCTGTGCAGGAGTTCCTGATAACGTTGGCACGGAGCAATTAGATTGAAAATGCTTTGCAGAATGCTAGGAAGAGAATTTGCATCTTTAAACCTGCTCTAGGCATTGTGGAAGCCCAGCTGCTCTTTGACTCTTTGTGCCTCTGATTGTTGAGAAGGGGCAGCAAAAACTGACTGTCTGTAAAACGCCTGCGTCTTTCAGTCTGTGATTTGTTTTGCTTTCTGTTCATATCCATGCCTATAAAAAATGGGAAGAGTCTTCATAAAACCTAAGATGCGGATGTAGGGCTGTTGTAAATACTCTTGTCAGTTTGTCCTATCCTACGTAATTTGCTTTTCAGGTATTAGTTGCTAGTTTGAAGTTCTTTCTTGGGAGAGATGAAGATGAGAAACAAGACAGTGACTCAGAATCTGAGGTGGGTGGTTTTATTAAATCTCCTCCTCCCCGTTCATCAAACTCTAACAGGTCTGTCGTGCTAGTGACCCTGGCTCTGCTAGTCTGTCTGCTTCTGTGTTAACTTACTTTCCCATCGTGTTTCCTCCAGATCTTTCTATGCTTAACAAAAAAGTTCAATGTTTTTGAGAGCTGGCCCCAACCGACAGCAGGATACTTTTGCTGTCTGTCTGAAGACTAACGCTAAGAGCTCCTTTGCTTTCCTCTCCTCCTTGTGAAGGAAGCTATTCACTTTGAAGACCTAAGCAGGGGCTGGTCAGTCTGGGTCATGAAAACAGGAATTGCTAGTTGTGTAATATAGAGTTGTGGGAAGAGGCTTTCACCCTGGTGTATGGGAAGCTGGTTTGGGGTTTTAGTTGTCTGTTTTGTCTTCAGTTTTCCCTTTCGTGCTCCACTTCCCATTTATTTACAAACAAACTTAATTCAGGTACCTTGAGAAGGCTGATAACCTAACGGGATTTTGGTCTAGAACCTCCTATCATTATATCATTATTTGTCTAGGACTGAACAATACTCTCTGATTCACCAGCCTTAAAATCTACTGTGGTGATGTGCTGTTAAGTGTTTGTGGTCTGTCTTGCATGTAGGTATGTGGCTAGTTTTACGGAATCAGGATTTAAAATGCTAGTATTTCTGTATGATGAAATTTAGGAGGAGGGAGAGTTTTCAAATATAACACATGATCCTGAAAAATATTGATATTTTTTGTTTCTCTGGTTCCCATTCGTGGGAATCGCCTGATGTCACCTGAGTCTTGTTTTCCTTGAAAATTCTTTCTCAAGGACGATGCTCCCACAGCCAGAGATCTGATGATGCGGTACGCAACTAACAAGAAAACCACCAAGCGCAAGAAGAAACTGGAAAAAGCGATGAAGGTCCTCAAGGTGAGGAGAGTGGCGTCTGACTTGCCAGCATTTTAGCTTAATCCTTCAAGTGCAGAAATCTTGCCGTTGCCCCTCGTGACTTAGCTACCTTTTGTCATCTTTTCTAGGCAAAGGTCCTCAAGTGTTCTAGCATCTGTGGGCCAGGCATGTGCCACGTTGCCTGGAAGAGAGCTGTTTTCAAGCAGACTTAGAGTCCGAGTCTAGGATTAGTTCTGCTCTGGGTACCCTTTGTGTGGTCCCCTACTTTAAAGTATGTGGTGTGTTGATAAGTAACTGCTTAATGCAGCTCCTCCCGCTTCTTAGGTCAGGTGGCAAAAGATGCTATGCAGCTGAAGACAGTGATAGTTTGTGTTAAAGTGTCTCTTTTAGAAGAGAAGACTGGTAAACAGCAGCCTGAAACTGAAGCACTTGGAGCTTTTTCATGGAAAGAAAAAAAAGTCTCTTATTCTTTTTGCCATGCAGAAACAGAAGAAGAAGAGCAAGCCAGAGGTGTTCAACTTTTCTGCTATTCACTTGATTCATGATCCCCAAGGTAAGCATGCATTGTGTTTTGTCCTTTTTCAAGTGATGCGTTTATGCCAGACACTGAGGCTTAGACACAACTCTGCAAGGAGAACGGAAGTGGCAAGTCGGTAGAAACGTGACAATGTGATACTTGTAGTGTGCTTTATCCTGGAGTTTCACAGCACTTTGAAAAGGTGAGATCAGTCCTGTTGTGCTGCTTGTAGTGGAACACTTGTAGGTAGTCAGACAAGAAAGGAGTGATATTAAATCATCTGCTTCAGGTTGCTACAGATGAGGATGTGGCTCTCTGCCTCTTTCCGGTATGTGTTAAGGCCATAATTTGTGTGAAGGGGGAGTAGTTAATCTACTATAGCTTCTTTGGCTTACCCCCTTCAAAAATGTGTTTCTGTTACTAGTCTGATGTTTGTTTCATACTGCTTGACTTGGTCTTAGTCTGATCTAGTGAACCTCTGGGGACTTTGTTTTTCAGACGAACCCAACGTGTATTTAAAAAAATCTAGCTTTAAATACTGACCCTGTGCTTATGGTGTTGTGCAACTTGTGCTAGTTTTCCTCTCTGCTGATCCTGTGTGTAGCTTTAGACCTTCTAGGCATGTGAGAAGAAAAATAACCCATTGGGAGAAGTGCTCTGGCCGCCTTTAATTTCTTCTCTGCAAGGGCACTGGGGCTTAAAAAAACCCAAACCAAACTGACTGCTTTTTTAACCTAATCCCAGCTGAATTCTGCGTTGTGCTCTTAAAGTCTACCACAAATGTGTTATTGCTCCTTCTAGACTTTGCAGAGAAACTGCTGAAGCAGCTGGAGAACTGTAAGGAACGATTTGAAGTGAAGATGATGCTCATGGACCTAATATCTAGGCTAGTTGGAATACACGAGGTACCTATTCTGATAATCTCATAATGGTCTGATGGGAGCTGGCCTGGCTTGGGTGGTGGCATGCTCTGGCTCTGTGCCTCTGCAACATGGGGTTTAATTTTGCTGTATGTTGGAAGGTGCAGATGTATGGTCAGGGAGTTGCTGGTGGGCCTTGTGGAATTGGTGCAGTGGTGTAAACTTGTGTGGTACTAAGCGACCTCTGCTAGAGAAAGCTGTTGGTCTGGAATAGCTGGGCTGTCTCTAACAAATAGAGCAGAATATATCCTTTTTAAGACCTGTGGGCTCCTGGGACGTTCTTCAAAGGAGAAAGGCTTTTCAAAGGAGTCCAGCAATTGCTCATGAAAAGCCCTCTCTAAGGTTCAGCCAAAGAGTGATCAAAATTACTGGAGCCTCATTCTGTTTTGGGAGGGAAGATTGTGTCCCTGAGGCAGAGGGAGGTGGCACATTGTAGGATCGTGCAGCAGAGTGCCCTAATTTGAATTCTGTGCAGTCCCACAAGAACCACTTCTTGTTTTCAGAGTGTGGGATTGAGCCTTGTGCTTCCTTTGTGCAAGTCATCTCCTCATCTCCACATATACCAAGCTCGAGACAGGAGAAGGTGTCACACAATACAATCCAAGGCATTTGGACAGCAAGCTGTAGAGAATCGTTGATTGTTTTACAGCATATCAGCCTAGGAAGGTGATCTCAAGTTGAAAGACAAGAAGCTAATCTGTTAAAATGTCTTTCTTGCAGCTTTTTCTTTTTAATTTCTACCCCTTTGTTCAGAGATTCCTACAGCCCCACCAGAGAGGTAAGTAGCTAATCGGTAGGTAACACTGCTGGTCCATCACGTCCCATCTTCGGTCAGCTCTTAAAAGTGGTGCTATAAATGAATAGGTCGCAGGAGCTTAGTAGGAAGTAGGAGTAGTCCAGAGGGCGTGGATGAAGGAATTAAAAGGCCCTGGCTGCCAGAAGTGCAAAACACTTTGGACTTTGATGGAACCTGTGTGCACTCGATGCTCCTTACCTGAGCGTTTGAGAAACTCCAGCAATGGAGTAAAATCCATCTGCAGAGTCCCCAGTTGCTTGCAAATCCTGACTGGTTGACCAAAGCGTGACTGCCCTTTGCTGCTTTGTGTTACTGTGTTTCACTCCAGTTCTAGAGCATTTCTTTTCATCTTAGCTGGTTATTAAGGCCCTGTGCTGCTGCTGGGGTGGAGACCACATGAGTTCCTAATGCTTGGTGGGAGAGCAGAAATGGTTGTCCCAAATAACTTGAGACTGAAACGGCTTGGAGACTTTGACTGAGCAGCTTGTTGAGTTAGCTCTTTGGGTGGATGCGTTTATTGGTCAGACTAAGCTGCAGCGATATGCTTCGACAACTTCTTCCCACCTTTCTTTTCTTCCAGAAGTGACAAAGATTCTTCTGTTTGCCGCACAAGCTTCGCATCAGCTAGTACCACCCGAGGTCAGTACTTCGCCTCTCTTTGGCGCTGTTAAAAATGGACAGCGGGCCAGCATGGAAATGTAACTGAGTGCATTCGTGGTGAGGGGGAAAAGGGAATCTGGTCAGACCCTTTGTCTTGAAAAGCTTATGGTAAATTTGGCTACTTCTGCAAGTTCCCAGGGATTGTTTTGTGTAAAGGGAAAAAACCCACCCGTGTCTGATGTCTTCCTTTCTGTAAGAGAATTTGTGTCTAGAAAATATTTGCAGGCTGTAGTGACAAGTCCTGAGCTCTACCTTGCTGTGGAAGGGGCTCTGTCTACTAACTAATAATATGTAATTGTGTTCACAATTTGACTAAATAAGCATTAAGTGTATTTAACCTTTTTTCTTACTTTCAGATTATCCAGTCAGTGTTAATGACCATTGCCAACAACTTTGTCACTGACAAGAATTCCGGGGAGGTCATGACCGTAGGGTGGGTACAGAATCTTACAAAAACTGTAAAACTCTCTGAACGTGGAAAAATATTTTTCTTTTTGAAACCACCTGCAACTTATTCCTGTTAGTCGTACTATGCTTTCAAGAACCTGCTTGAATAAAAACAAGTTAGGACAGTATCTCAGCATGAACTTCCCTAATTTTGGTAGGCAGTGTTTTAAATTGCCCAGAAGGATGGGTTTCTGTGCCTAGTGCTGTGACTTAACTTTTCTGGATTTCATGATGGTGCCTTTTTTTTTTGTTTTGCGGTGTTGTTTGGTCTTGTATTTTTCTTCCTTCCTGGATATTGTTATTTATACTTTGAGGGCAGATGTCTGTGAATGAATATATTTGTATATGCTCAGTGAGCGGTTAGCGTCATAGTTCAGGACTCTTAACTTTGATGTTTTGTGGATGAAATTTTGCTGCTGACAACAAATTGAAATGTTGCTGTTAGTGAAACTGGAATGTACGTTCTTTGACTAGACAAGACAAGTATTTGTGAAAGCTCTGGTTTAAGTGGAGTAGAGAATGACCAGCAAATGCAGGAGAGAGCTGAACTGTCCTTGAAGACGAAGCACTCGACAGGGGCAGACTATTGTGTGTAGGCAAGTTGTAAATATTTTGTGAGCTATTTCTTTTCCTCTTGGCATGGTTTTAATCCAGGTATCTAGCGTACTAAGTGTGTGCAGGAAGATGGTTTAAAAGGGAACTTGTGTGAGACCACGGGCTTCTGTTATGCTGTCCTCTTACCCTGCTCATGGTTGACTCTAGAACTGGTTTTGATTTTTCTTTTTTTTTCTTGGCCTGGTGATTGACTGCTTTTCCGGACTGCCTGGACCCAGGCTTCACTTGCAGAATCCTGAGGCCTAGGATCAAACTAAATAATAGCTGGAGAGTAGAGCATGAGCCAGAGATGGAGGGTTTTGGATAACCATGGCAGATAGAGCTCCTTGTGATGTTCTCCTCTGTTTAACTACATGTTGTATAAATGCTGTTTAAGGTTCAAGTTCCAGCTAATTCAGTCTATTACTGGGCCAGTGGCAGTCTCCCCAGCTGGGATGTTCAGAAAATAATTCACTTCCAATTTTTTAGAATCAATGCAATAAAGGAAATCACTGCGAGATGTCCGTTAGCCATGACCGAAGATCTGCTCCAAGACCTTGTTCAGTACAAGACTCATAAAAATAAAAGTAAGTGTATTACATGGATATGACTTCCAGGTCTTTTTTCTCCTGGATCATCTGGTCCTCCATTGTTATAGCCTTCATAACAGTGATGTCTTAATTGTTTTTATGTGGGCTGACAGGTAGAATTTTCATGTGTGTTGTGTTTCTCTGTGTTTTGAGTGTATATACATAGGAGACAAAATAGTCAAGGGTAGTTGTGGCAGGGGAAACAATTCACAGAACTGAAGAAGGGAAACTGCTTGCTAATAAAGATTTAGCCCTCAGGAAGAGCTGGATCCTGCACTGGAGAAATGAAAGGGAGCTGCAACTTCAGAAAAGGCATGAGTGCGCTGTAAATACTGATTATCTGAGTGGGCTTCGGTTTACTCGGAATTCTGCTTTTCGATACTTATTCTTAACTCTCTCTGTTTCTGGGTAGATGTGATGATGTCTGCAAGAACTCTGATACACCTTTTCCGTACTCTGAATCCAGAGATGCTGCAGAAGAAATTCAGGGTAAGTGTTTTTCTGAACATCGCGTTCACCATAAACACGGGCTTGTGCTCAAAAATGATGAGGAGAACTGGTCTCATACCCTCTTGAGAATGAGGTGGAGTCACGCCTGTGTTCTTCGCCTGCCTGCTCCCTTGCTGCATTGTGATGTGGCACGCTCTTATTTCAAGATGTCCTTAGTTCAAATTTATCCAACTCATTGACAGAAGGAGTGTGCTACGAAGCTTGACTATCTTCCTAGAGTTCCTTCAACTTTTCAATAATTCCAAATCTTTTCTTACTTCATCAGGCAGAATTTCTTTTCTACCCGCACCCTCCTCTCCCCCAGACTTTTTCATGGATTTGTGGGCATTGAAATAGCAGCCTGCTTAATATGTATTTCTTTAACTTACAGGGTAAGCCTACTGAGGCCTCGTTGGAAGCCAGGATTCATGAATATGGAGAACTGGATGCCAAAGATTATATTCCAGGAGCAGAAGTACTGGATGTTGAGACTGAAAAGGAGAAGGGAGGAACCCAAGAGGAAGGTTGGCCTTTTTTTCTTTACCACTTCTATTTTGAGCATCATTGTCACTAAGACTTTATTGGACGTAAAACTTCGTGTTCGTACATTGTATTTGCTGCTGTCGCTTGCTGCATGGCTTGCGCATCTGTATTTATCCGTTAAGGAGCACTGGTACTATCCTTGAGTGAGTGCAATTTATCCAGCGGAGTTTGTTACTGTGTTGCTTTGCATGAAAGCCACTGAGGGATGGAAAAACAGAGGGACAGACACTGTACAGCTACGAAACTTCATGTTCAGCTCTTGCTAAAGAAAAGTTTTTGTGTGTTATAAAACACAGAAATAGTAATTTGAAATAGTATTTGGCTTCTTTAATTCACTTCCTGTGTAAATGCTCCATGCAACCTGGAACCCCTACCTGAATCAGGAAAAAAAAGATGGGGAGGGACTTGAAAACCAAGCCAGAAGAGTTGGGCAAATGAAGCCAGAGGGCATTGGAGGTATTGCGGTGGAGGTGTACCGGAGGAATAAACACCCTGGTATGTCACGTTTCTTACGCATGTGAAGGCAGCGATTAGTATAACTATCTTCTTTGCTTCTGTTTCTGAAGCTGGTGACTTGAGCACATCAGTCAGTTGGAACAGCGATGAAGAGCAATGCATGTCCTGTAGAAAGTAACTTCGCTATAAATTGTATTGCTTCCCTCCTTGGTTTAGATGGCAGGGAGCGGGGAACGCGTTACTGAACAGTGTAATAAGGATTAGCATCTGTAAGCTACTGTGTTTCTTCCGAGCCTGTCCCAAATGCACTCTTAACATCTCTAAGTTCAGATGAGAGCTAAGCTTTGCAAAGCATAGCATTATGGTACAGCTTGCTGCGACACTGACGTGTCGCAAGCTGCTTTGGGTGTCATCTATGGTTGGCTTGGTTTTGAGTGAATGAGGTGTACTTAAATGCATTTCCTGTCAAGGCTCTGATCGCCTCTGATTGTGCCAGGTGTGTTGAAAGCTCATAACAAATAAATCTATTAAGGTGGCTGCAGCTCACAGTAATGACAAAATCCACCGCCTGTTGTAAGCAGTCTGTTGTAGGGGGGCGTGTGTGCTTTCAAAGCTTTCACGCTGCCGTATGCAGTTAACACGATAAAAATTGGTGTCCGTAACTGAATGTGCATGTGATGTGGGTGCGCTAAGAAATCCAAGCTGAGGTTTTTTTGACAGCTCTGAATCAGTTGCATGCCAGATGGAATTTGGTAGCTGAACTTGCCAGTGGGAAAGCCTGGGAGCTGCTGGTCTATTCAGCTGTGGATGTCTTTTAAAAGTCATTAACAAGTAGCGATCGGATGTGTGAATGTCTCTGTAATGTTTATGTAGTTCCAAGGCTGGGATGCGGAGACCCTACAGCTTGCCTGTGTGGTAAGCATGTCCCTGGGCATCAGTACAGTTAGCTGATAGGTAATTAATGGTGGTGAGAGCTTGCGATGCAATCGGAAATTATTTCAAACTCAAGCAGTTAAATTGAATCTGTATTATAACAATACTGTGCACTTCTTTCCCCGAGCAGATGGATGGGAAAGTGCTAGTCTGAGCGAGGAAGAAGATAACGAAGATGGAGAATGGATTGATGTCCATCACTCCTCAGACGAGGAGCATCAAGAAGTAGTGAGTTCCAAGTGTCTTCTACCCCAAGTACAAATAAGCATTGTTAATAGCAGGTCAGATGTTGTTGCTCTGTACCTTCACGTGCCTGCTCATAACTAACTATGTAGGGCTGCGGAGTAACTTGATCAGAATCGGTGAGGCTGGAGTTCTCTTGAGCACCTGTGCTGACACCGGCATGTTCTTAGCGTGAGGGGGAGAGACGGGGGAATTCTGTCCCAGTGCTAAATTCCTTCAAAGCTCTATTTACGGATGAGTGCTTTTATTCACTCTGAAACATGAAGGAGTGGAAGTACTTCTAATAATACCTGTTGAATATAAGACTATGAAGAATCCTAACAGCTGGTTATAGCATTTCCCAACAATATTGCCCCTACCTAGGTATTTGGGAGGCAAGGGTCATGGGTTATGGCACAAAAATGGTTTGCAAAGCTCCGGATGATTCTGCTTTTCCACTTTTTTCAAAAGGCAGAGAAGGTGAAAAGCATGCCCGTAGAGGAACGAAAAGCCAAAGCTGCAGCAGTCAGTACAAGCAGGCTGCTAACCCAAGAAGAGTTCCACAAAATACGCCTTGCCCAGCTCTCCAAAGAACTTAATGCTGCACCCGGCAAAGCTGCCAAGAGGAAATACATTGAAATAGATGACGAGGAGGAGGAGGGCAGGTAGGACATATGAAATATCGATGAGCGCTTTCTCTTCCCCACAACCTGGTCCTACAGCTTGTGATTGCAGAAGGGCGGAGAGCTCTGCTGTCGGTCAGTATCCCCTGGTGACAGGGGGCAAACAGCCACACAGCCCAGAACGGGTCCTGGCCCTGGGGGGTTGCTTTATACCTGGGAGAAAAGACATGAGGGGCCGATGGGAACTACGAGACTGTTCCGCTTGTTCAGACCACTAGGCGTGTTTTTTGTAGCAGTAGTTGCATGGTTATGTATCCAGAGTTTCTTAAACTTTGTGGTTAAAGCAGGACTTGAAAAACAGTAATGAGAGACTTTTCTAAGGGTTGTCCCAAGCACGAGGATTAGCCTGGGAGAAAGAACGAGAAGCGCTTCTGTGAAAGTTTATAGGAAGACAATGGTGTAAGAGATGGCGAGGGTCTGGAGGGCATTTTGTTTTTCTTGCCGGGTGAAGTTTTGTGTGTGATGGCCTATTGTTGCTTTTTTGCGTGCGTAGGGGAGAGTTGCTTTCGCTCAGAGATATAGAACATCTGCATAAGAAGCCTAAATCGGACAAGGAGACCAGATTGGCAACTGCGATGGTGAGGAGCTTGGCTGTTTCATGTCCTCTGCCTTTCTAGATTTGCGTGTCTGTTTTAGTCTCCTGCAGGATGAGGAGGAGGTGGTGGGGTTGTGTCTGTAAGATGGGTGTCCAGCTGCCATCTGTGTTTTGAGAAATGTTTTGTATAGTGCTTTGCTGTTGCATGTAGGCTGTAGCAGATAAAAACAGCCTCTTGCTGGTCACAGGTGACAAGGAAAATACACAGACACACCCAGTTTTCACTGTGACTTAATAGAGCCAGTGTGGAAGAAAGCACATAATGTACACAGGTAGTCATACTGAACCTGGATTTCTTGTTGCTGCCGTAGAATCTGTCACCTTAGCAGCTGATGTTAACCGTAGGGACAGGAAAATGACCCCCTGTTCTTATGTTATGTTGTCTATTCTAGGCTGGAAAAACAGACAGAAAAGAATTTGTGAAAAAGAAAACAAGAATTAACCCATTTGCCAGCTCTTCCAACAAAGAAAAGAAAAAGAACAAGAACTTCATGATGATGAGATATAGCCATAGTGTCCGGACAAAAAATAAGCGGTCTTTCAGGGAAAAACAGGTAATATTTCATTTTGAAAATAGACGGAGCAGTCTGAGGAGTAAACTTAGAATGCAGGTGAAGTGCTGTCTATCCTGTGTCCGAAGTGGTTATTGTTCACTGTGATTGTTTAATAGCTGGAAAGGACTGTGGGCTAGGTGGCTTCCCTTGAATCCTACCCCAGAGGAGGTACATCAGAGATTGTGGGGGTGAAGAATGCTTTTTTTTCAGTCTCTACTCTTTAATATGCATTGAGGACCAAGCCCTGTTGCCAAGACATGTGTAGGTTAGGAAGGCAGTGACAGTGCAGTTAGTTTCCCTTTATAGAAATTAAAGATGATCCTGTTAGAACCCTGACTACCATCCTGTGATAAAAGAAATGTTTCTCTGATAGGGAGTTGTTGTCCTGAAAAACAAGCTTTTTGAGTGTTTCTTCACTCTCCGTATTCTTTCTTTGACTTTTCTCCTGTTGCTGTCTTTTTATGGACTTCTCTGTCCTGGCCTTGAGGTCACCTAATAGCTATAGGAATAACTAATAATAGTAATAACTTTGTTACCTATTTGAAATTCTTTAGAAAAATAAATAGCTTCAGTTTAGCCTGCTACAGTAGTTTCACAATGTGCTGCTCTCGGTGGTGAAGCCCCTCCCCTCTGCTGCTTCCTCAGCTCTAAGCCTGGCCATAGGGCTGATATTACATTATAATAATATAAAAAATACAGATAATATATGATATTTTAATACATAATAATATAATATATATAACAACCTGTGTGTTCCTGCAGGCAGCTGTGCCAGGGGTAGCTGAAGGGAGATCTAAAGGGCAAGGCAGAAGCTTTGGGGGATGACTTTGCTCCTGAAAGCATTGGCCAGGAGCCCATACAGCTCCCCAGGGTGCCTGGGGTTAGACGAGCTGGCAAGAATGGAGTGTGGACAGGGAGCCCCCCTGCTCCTGTGATGCACCTCAGCTGGGGACCTTGCCTGAACTGGGGCAGCTGTTGCCAGAGAACTGGTGTAGGCATATTGCCTTGTCCTGTTGTGTTTCACCTGGGCAGGGTAGGTCTGTGCTAACAACAAAAATCTGCCTTAAAACCCTTCCATCTAACCTGGCAGATGGCCAGCCTAGGGTTTTACAGGGTGTTATGAAATTGAGCTCCTTTGCATGTTCCAAGAGAAACCTAGAGAATACTCCAGTTATGCAGGTGTTGTGTTCCTGTGTGGTGTTAATTTTGGTTTTCCTGCTAGGTTCTGTCTTGTGCTAGAGTGCATTCAGATGCTTCTTTTACAAACCCTCCTTTGTGAGTTATTTGCAGGATACTATCATTAGGATGATGCATAATCGTCTGCAGTTTGTTGCCTTAAGAGCAGCAAAACTGTAACTGTTTATAGACTCAGTAGAGAGAACATGCCTTAAGTGTTCCTGTTAAATAGGAAGCCTTGGAGTAATATCCTCTGTAGTCTTTTTATTAGCTGTCATTCTGCCTTGCCCTCAATAAGGCTGACCACATTCACTCAGCTCTCAAAACACAAAAAAAAAACCCTTGCAAATGAACAATCCAGGCACTCGTAGGAAACTGCTGTTTACAATGATTCTTATATTTGGCTCACTGACTCTAAAAAGCCATCCTGTGTGGTTTCATTTCTTATTCCCGATTAATGTTTCGAGTTTAAATGTAACAGCTAAACGGAGGAAGAATTCTTTCATACTTTTTTCACCAAAGTTAGGCCGCAGCATCGGTTGTGTTGACCGTGATTTGGAAATACTTGTTAGAAGTGGATTGAAGTACCGTAGTTGTAGGATACTGTGTTCTGCTGCTGCCTGTTACGTACAGTCCAGAGCGAAATCCCCTTACCAACTAAAACACGTCTGAAATAGACAACCAAGTCTCTTTAGAGTGATATGGCGCTTCTGAAAATTCTAGGATCCCTCCTTCCCCCCTTCAAAAGAGGCTTTGTAATACTCTTTCAAAAAAAAAAAGCTGTTTAATCCTACTCACCTCTCAGCTGGACCTTTTTTCGTGAACTCTTCTAGTTGAATATGAGTCAGTGGAATGGTTTATGTTACTCTAATATTTTTCTGTATATAGCATCTGCTAATGATGTACTGAAACATTTTTTGAAGCCCAACTCTTTCTTTAATTATGCTACTGAGTTTAGCTAAATAACCGCAGTGTTTCTGCCACTGTAGTTGTTAGCATTTGCCGGTTACGGCTCCCAGTTTTAGCTGATAAGCTATTAGTGTTTTTCTGAGGTTGAAGAAATTGAAGAGGGTTGTTGATGTGATAGCGGTGTTGTCTCCTTGCTTATTAATATTGTCCTTACCTGAATATTCCACTCTTGTTTCATATTTAGCTGGCTCTTCGAGATGCACTTCTGAAAAAGAGAAAACGGCTGCTGAAATAACGAACAGTAAAGGAGAGGAGTACTTAATCACCCTTGAAGAAATAGTCCTAGCGGTGCTCATTTCCACCCACCACTGCCCCAAAGGAAAGAAGGGACGGAAATGCCTTATGGATTTGCCTCTATTCTGTTCAGAATTACAAATCGAACACTTCTAAGCTGTTGGATGTTGCATCTATAGGACAGACAGAAGAGACCTTAATCCTTGCAGGATTTTGATTTTTTGGAAAGCGTTCTAGGGAAGAAAGCAGTTATCTTTATTGAATATATTTTACTTACAGCTGTTTATTTTATGTGTAAGTATTAAAAGATAGAACCTTATTGTAAAAATACTTTATTTGAATCAATTCATGAATAGGTAATAGGAAGGAAAGAATATTCTGGTTCAGTCTATAAAGTGTGTATGTAATGTCTGTGCCTGTCTTACGGAGATGATTTTACAGACTGAGTCAGCCTTTTTCTAAGTGGTTGTTTTTTACCTGTTTAATAATAATAAAATTCTTGTGCTACAGGTAAGTTCAGGTGAACAGTTAGGGGGAAGAACAGTTTCATTGTTGTTTAGGAAGAAAAGAATAAAATCAGTATATGGGAGATTGCTTTAATGTTGCCATTTAAATACAAAGGTAGCGTAACGTGTAGGAGAAGGAAGGAATCGTATTTTTCTATATCGGTGCATCTTGTGGTGGGACTTGCTGGTGTCCGATTGTTAAAGTATACATGAGAAGAACATGGATCTGTGGATTCTTTACATCAAAGGTTGAACTCTTGCTTCAGCCTTGACCTCTGCTGGGGACCATTAATGGGTTCTTTGTATGTTACCCAGCCACCTGTTTTAATGGAAACTTGAAGGAGTTAGTTATACCACCCTCTGTCACGTTCTGTTTGAAATGGATTTCCTTGCGGGGCAGAAGCAGGTACCACATGCACAGCATAATGGCAAAGCATGTGGTGGGGTGTTTTTTTCCTTTCTCCTTAGGAAACCAGGTTAATGTTTATATCCCACATGGGAATTGACTCAGCTATGTTTGCTTTGTTGAATACACAGTTGTATTCACTTTAATTCCTATTACTTGTCTTGTTTGTATAATTTTGGTTGTTGGTTTTGTTGTCATGTCTTCCTAAAGCAAAAAAAGCTTATAGAGGCTTCAGGGAGAGAGGAGAGAAGAAAGTAGAAACTTTGTACAACTTTGGATGTTATGTTCAAATTCAGTGCTCCTGCTGGGGTAAGGGCAGGGATTTGCTATGTGGGAATGACAGCAATGAGCTGGCCAGGTGGAGGATAGGTGGGAGCTGAAGAGGTGAATGGATGCAGAGGAGCCGTAGTGATATGGAGTGTGGAGCAGGGGCTGAAGAGTAAGGGGAGGAGATGGGCTTATATATGTGCTTATATAAAACCTCTTCACTGTTTCTTTTTTTGCCCTTTTATGTGGACGTGTCCAAAAATTAATGACTTGTGAGGCTTCAAAGGAGACGGTTTTTTGGTTGGCTTTGAGTTAAGGACTAGTGCCTAGTCTCCTCTCTTCCCTTCCCCCC